CCAAGGATAGCAATCTGCTACCAAAGACCTCTCTAAAACTCAAGGATATCAGTCTAAAGACAAACGCATGCCTGATCCAAGCCATTATCTTTCCTACTGCTTCCTAAACATCTCAAAGTTGAACAATGAATAAGGAAGCCTGAAAAGAATCAATGCCTTTGAACTGTATGCTGAAAATTACTGAATATCCTCCATGGGCGGCCAAAAGAACACACAAATCCATCCTGAAAGAAGTGCCAACAGGAGGCTCCTTGAAGACCGAAGATGGTGAAACTTCACCTCACATACTTTGGGCATGTTGTCCGTAGAGGCCAGTCATTAGACAAAGACATTAAGTCGAATCCACCAGACACTCTGCTGGAGAAAGAGGGGCAATCTCCTCCCGTACCAGCAGATCCAATCTGACGGTACACACACGCGCGCAAATAATAAAATAAAATTTAAAAAATAGAGATGATGAGGATGCCACAGAATGGAGAAAGGTTCAGGTCTCTCAACTGACGGCATCTAATAACAAAATGTTTAGTGTTTCTGATCTTCTTGTACTTCTCTGCACAATATCTAGAGCTTCAAAAAGCATTCACGCAGCCGTGTAAGGCACAACATCCTTACCTGCAGCAACAGAGAAAGGGAAGGCAAGAATGAAAGGAGGACATGGAATGTGTGCCTGTCTCCATGAACAGCTGTCTGCTTTGCCAGAAGACCCCAAGATCTTGGATGATGGTGCCTAGCTACCATTTACTGAACACTTTTATGGTAGTTTACTGAAGACTCTTGTTCAAAAGTGAAAAAAGATGTGCCTTGAGTTTGTTGTTTGGGGTTTTTTTTTTTTTTTTTATATTACATAGGAACCTTAGGGGACAATGAGTTTATGTTAATAGGGAAAAGAAAGGTACAAACAATTGCACAACTCGAAGAATGTACAGGCATACTGCATTTTATTGTTCTTTGCTTTACTGCACTTCACAAGTAGTGTTTATATTTTTTTGTTTGCTTGCTTGTTTTAGAAAATGGAGTTTTTTACCAACCCTTCATTGAAAATCAGAGCCATTTTCTAAAAACCTGGGCTCACTTCTTTTCACTGTGTTTTATTTTGGCACTTCTCACAGTATTTACAACTTTTCCATAATGCTATCACTGCACAACTAGTAGGTTACAGGTATAAAAAGTTAGATAAATGTAACTCAGATCTATGTACTGAGAAACCAAATTAATTCGTAAGACTTACAAGGTCTGCAACCAAAGCTGCAGTATCTCTGGGGTATACCTCTAACCAATGTTACTCAATTGTTTAAGGAGAACCTGTTGAGCCATTTATCTGTGCATATTCTACATCAATACAATAATTAAAAAACAAAACAAATAAGGGTGCTCTGGTGGCCTAGTGGCAGGAAACTATACTGCCATCCCAGAGGTACATGGTTCTAATCCACCAGATGCTCTGCTGGAGAAGGAAGGACAATCTCCTCCTGTACCAGTCAGATCCTATGTGATGGTACACACACCATTAAAAAAAAAAAAAAAAAGGCTCTTAAAATAAAGTAACCAGAGAAAAACAAAGATGTAGAGTAGGCCTGCAGACTGGAAAGAGGTATCAAAACCTGGTCTGAGCAATGTCTCACCAGGATAGGGGCTAAAAAGTAGACTATGGATTATTTTTGGAACTCTGTAATAAACGTAAAGTTGTTAAGATACATTGTTGAACCTTTTCAAGTCTCAGTAAAAATAAATCACCCTATCAGCCAATTCAAAGTTTTCACCTCTGCATAAGAAAAGACACACATTTACACTTAATGCATATCAAAAGCTCTGAACCCTCTGAACTAGGTCACCTTTTCAAAGAAAGCTCAGCCCATGGTATAATTTGAAATGCTAGTCCCATTTGTAAAACTCCACCAAGAGCTGCAGTTAATATTAAGAGACACAAGTTTGTTCTTAAACTGGCTTTTCTCTTAATCAAATCAAGGACGCTTCCAAGTGAAAAATTTGTCAGTTTCCCTACACTTGTGATAGTAGACCCAGTATAGAAAAGTGGGTAAAAGGAGTTGTGTTATCAACCCAAAGACATGTGGTTCGAATCCTGCTCAATGGGAGAAAAATGGGGCCTCTGAACACCTGCTGATGGGTCAATTCCAACGAGACCATCAGTTATGAGAAAGCTCATAATAGCAACATTGGTCAAAATTCTTAAAACACAATTACTTTAAAAACCCCAAATAAACCAATTACTGTATCCTTTTAGAAGGTTTCGGTGAACCATCACCCAAGAAGAGAAATTATCACTAAATATAAAACCTTTTACTGAGACTCACCTGAAATGTGTTTGTACACACCTGTGCATGCACACAGAGAAGATGTAATACTGCTTATAACGAATTCTAAGGCCTAACTCCTGACAAACAAAGACGAGACTCTCGTATTTATTCATACAGTATACTGAAGAGAATGAGCCAAAGATTTTAAAGATTTGGGGGTGGGTCATCAAGTAAGGTATTTGATAAGCCTCAGCCTGCACTGCTCCAGGCAGCTTGGGAAGCGCCAATGGGTAACAGCAATGAGGCTAATCTCAGATCCATATTAAGTACAAGTTTTTACCATAAATCAGAGCTAATTAGATAGAATGGACTCTATCCCTCGAGGCTGTTTGACTCCTTTCGGGGAAGATGTATACAGAATTTGTGACCCATGACCTAACACGAAACTTGTTGAACTCCTTTTATGAATTAGGTGCTCTGCCAGATACCTTCCTGCTGAGTTTCAATGGGAAGTGGCAGCATGAAGAAGGGAGAAGAGACAAGGGTCACAGACTTGTCTTGAAATCAGACCCAGCAGCACCTAAGACCCTTCAGTAAATATCTACTGAATGAACCAGACAGTCTTTATTGCACTGCAAGTGTGACATTAGCAAAAGAATGAGCTACAGAGTAAGAGGATGAATTCTACAAACACAGATAAGGGAAAACCTTCAGAGTTCATCATCAGAGTCGTCTTTCCCTAGAAGGGCAGGCTGTGGTTGCAGAAGGAAAGCCATTAGACAGGAGAATGCACCCCACCAAGGGTGGAGCAGATGGCCTGATCTCTGTTCCAATTTAAATCCAAATTCCTACAAGGGTTTTGTTGTATGTGCTTCATCATCTCCTTCCACTATAAAAAGAAACAAACACAGAGGGTTTGCGGTGTTTCTCCTCCAGGAAACTGGCTAAAAGCAAACAGCAAGTTACAGATAGAAAAATAAATAGCTTAGAATGTTTTCTTATTTACCAAGTAGTCAACCTGTAAAATTCTTCTGCAGACTTTTCTGAGAGAGAATAATCTAAGAACAACTCCCTTTCAAACCCGCTGGAGCCAGACACTTTCAAAACAAATTGCTGTCCTTTATCTTCTTTCCCTGATTGCAGTTTTTAAATTGGCCCATGCAAAAACTACCCATTTGCACAAGGAACAAGTAGACAAAATATTTCAGTCACTTACTATTCCACAAGGAAACAGTGGAGGGGGAATGAAAGCACTTTTTAAAGAGAACACAAACTAAGTGCAGAACAGGTAAAATGAAAGGAGGGAGAATAACAAATAGAACACTTTCAGCACCCCTAAGAAAGTGCAAAAATCAGCCAATTCCTATCACATTTTAAAAACAGAAGGGACCGCTAGTGCCAGATAAAGTCCTTCAGGCCAAAAGGAAGTCAGTCACGAAGTACAGAGAACATTAAGGTATGAGCGCCACTCACCCTACCTGTTCCCTCCCTTTACCTAGAGCTGGAGAAGCCAGACCTGAACACAGTATGGTTCTGTCTCTCCAAACCACATACCAAACACAGAATAAAAAAAACTTTGGATGCGTAATTAAAATTAAAACTTATCCAGTGGAAGCAAGAAATTTAGTGCATACCAGCCTTCCTTTTGAGGCTGAGGGTGGAATGTTCTTGAAAACCAAAATATGAGCCTCCTTTTACAACCTGCTTAGAATATAATGAATAAACTCTGCCCTCCTCCACCCACCTCTTCAAACTAATTAGTACTTCTAAAATGAAGATTCCTGGAAAATTAGCCCACGATGTGCCTTAACCACCCTGGACACCAAGGAGGACTTTGGCGATGTTAAAGGGCACTGTTTGTAGTAAGTTTTCACCAAGGAATTGCTAATTGCGAGCCTTCATCCCCAGAGAGTAATGTATCAAGTTGCGGCAGGGGTGCCTTTTAACGCCAATCCACTGCTAACTGGAGTGAGTACCGGGAGAAGGTTGAGGCCGTACTAAATACAGTCAGAATAAGACAGCAGGCAATCTATGTCACCAACTTTTTACTATGCAAGCCAAGGAAGGCAGAATGCAGAGTGTGATTTATTCATTAAGTGTATCACTCCCGTACCTCCAGGCCCTGGCTTGGGGAGGAGGAGTTGGTGGTTAGTTAACAGTTTACCTTAGAAGAAGGCAGCAAACAAGAAAGCCTTTCAGCTCCCAGGACCTCGTGGAGCTGGAGAGATGCGTGGCTGGGAGCCCCGCAATGCCACAGGTTCCCCCGCGCGCGGCCCGGCCCCGCTCCCACAGGTGGGCGGCGCTCGGCCTCCGGGGCTCGGGCGAGAGCCCAGGGCGCAGCCACTCCTTAGGGACGCGGGGAACCAGGAGAGCCAAGGGATGTATGTGGAGAGGCTGTGCCTAAGACAGCAGCGAAAGGGGAAGCTGGGGCGGTCGGTCGCCTGCTTCTCGCCCCCTCCGCTGAGAGGCTAGTGTCTTTCGGCAGGAGTCCGGTGGCGCGGAGCCTGGAGTACCTCCCACTATCCTTCCCGTGAGCCACGGCCTCCTCCTCGGGCGCGGTTAACCCGCAAGGCCGCAGACCGCCCGGCCGCCCGTCGGCTGCATGCGCCCTGTCACGTACGTGCACGACCACACGCGGGCGGGGGAAGGGCGCCCGCGGACCCGGGGAGACCTGACCCCGTTCCGGCCACTCCTCTCCCCAACCAGACCCGATCCCCTCTTGGGCTCACGCTCGCAGCCCCTTACCCGTTTTCGCTCGGATGTTTTCTCGCAAGAAGTGGCCGCTGGAGAGATGCTGGAAGCCGAAGTTCTGGGCGATCATCTGGCACACAGTGCCCTTGCCCGAGCCTGGCGGCCCAAGGATGACCGCGCGCAGGAGTTTGGAAGCCATTGCTTTGGCGAGGAGGGGGTCAGCCGTCCCGGACAGGGCCTCGGGAACTTTGTTGCTTCCGCCCTGGTGCCAGATCACCTCGACTTGTGCGTGGATTCGCCAGCCACCCTGCAGCGGGAATGAGAGACTTCGGAGACAGTCCTTCCCCTGAGCCTGCACCGGGCGGACTTTAAGGCGGAGTGGCGCGCCACCCTATCTCTCCCCGCCCTCCCAGCCTCCGCTCCCCCCCAGACAGCGCTCAGCCAGCTCCCGGAGCCCCCGCCCCCAGCGCGCGCCGCCGCGGGGCACAGAGCTCGGGTCGCCTGCGATCTCGACCCTCTCTGCGAGCCCCTCGTGCCCCCACCGCCGGGTTGAGGAGGGGGCTGGGAGGACGGACAACCCCACGCCAGGGTCCCCCAACTCTCCCCCAAGTCCCCGCCCCGAGCCAGGAAAGCTGAGAAAGGGGCGAGTGGAAGCCTGCAACCCCGACCCCGCGCTCCAGCCGGCCTGCGGGCCGAGCCCCTGCCCCGGTCTCCGCACGTGGGCAGCGTCCAGTTCGCGCCCGGCCCCTCCCCCGCGGCTGTCACATCCTCCGGGTTCGCCGCGGCGGCTGCTGCCGGAGCCGAGCGCCCACCTCCACCGCGGGCTGCCAGGATGCACTCCCCCGCCGCCCCGATAGCTGCGAGCGGGAGCCAGGCGCCTCTCTACAAAGAGCAGTCAGATAAACACACACCTCGGCTGCGAAGCTGCGCGCCGAGAGCCTTCCAGCCCGGATACCGCTGGGCGGCGCCGCCTCCGCCCGCCCCCACTCCGCGCCCGGGCCGGCCGCGCGGGACTCGCGCCTTACGTAACCGGGGAGACCGGCCCCGCGCGAGCCGCCGGCCGGCGCCCCCTCCCCTGCTCGGGGCTGCGCTCCGCGACCCGCCCTCCCGGCACACGTGCTCCCCGGGCCCCGCGGGGTCTTCGGTGGCGTGGTGAAAAGAGTGGGTACAGACAGAAAGGAGAGGAACTCGCGTTCTGGGGTCTCTACGAGACGCAATCCACTTGACGGCGACGGAGGGAGTGGGTGGACTATTCCTACGAAGGAAAAATACAACTTGTTGAGCGCCTACTGTGCGTCAAGTTCCCTGCCAGGTGGTTTCATTATGCAACAATCTTTCAAAGTAGGGCATTAACACGTGAAAAGATGTGTATGTGGCCATTCAGTGATTCATTCATTCAACAAAAGAGTTCCTATTTTGTGCCAGGCAGTATTCTAGGCCCTTGGGATGCAGCAGTGAACAATAGAGACTTAATCCTCCCTGATGGTAGTTAACATTCCAGCGGGGCTTTTGAACCTGCCCTACAGGACTCCAAAGGCCAGGGTTCTAGGAGCAGAAAAAAGGCGGGGCCTGTGCACCACCAGAGCTCCAGACCTTAAGACCAATTTATCCCAGGACATTAGAGCCCAGCTGTTAATTATGTCCAATAATTCAGAGTCCAGCCTCGAACTCCATATCCTCCCCCCTCCTGTGAATATTGTTAAATGCCATCCAGTCGCTTGCGACTCATAGCGACTCTATGTACAAAAGCTCTGAACATTGCTCTATCCTGTGCCAACCTCATCATATCAGGCACACCCAACCCCCATTACCTCCAATAACTGAATCAATCCCTCTCATGCAGGGTCTTCCTCTCTTGCGCTGTCCCTCCACCCTCCTAAGCACGACATCTCTCTCCAAGGACTGGTCTTCTTCCAACATGCCCAAAGTATGTCAGAGGAAGCCTCAGAGTCCTTGCCTCCAAGGAGCAACTTGGTTTCACCCTCTCCAAGACAAATATATTTGTTCTCCTAGCAGTCCACGGTATATTCAATAATCTTCAGCACCATAGCTCAAAGCCATTAATCCTCCTAATATCATCCCTAGTCCTTTTCCAGCTCTCTGATGCATAGCAAGTAATTGCAAAGAACATGGCCTGGCTCAGGTGCTCCTTAGTCTCTAGACTGACATCGTTGCTCTTCAATACTCTGGAGAGGTCCCTGACAGCAGACTTTCGCAATGCAATTCGTCTTTTGATGTCCTGGTTGCTAGTACCAAGAGTTCATCTCAGAGCCAAGCAACTAAAATTGTTAACAATCTCAACCTTTTCACTATCTATCATAATGCTGCCATTTGGCTCAGTGAATATCACAACACATATTCTCTTAAACCTATAGCCTAGTGATAAGGAGTTGCCCTGCCAACCTAAAGGCAATCTGATCTAAACTAGCTGCTCAGAGGAAGAAAGATGGACAATCTGTTCCCATGTGATTTGCTGCCTCTGAAAACCTGCTGGACATCAGCTGTGACTTGAATCTCACTCCATGGCACAAAACAGCATCACCCAAACTGGTGAGATACTCATCAATCATTCTCACCCTCACTAATGAGAAACAAATAGTCTGGTACCTGAAGAGCTCAGAAATTACCTTCCCTTGGATAAAGTGAGAGACACAGAGAGATGCGGTCTAGATACTGTCTAGTTACTGGCTACCTGGAACCCAGGCCAGCATTCCATATACTCCTGCACTTGTTGTCAAAGACCCACATTGGAGAGGGCAAAGTTCAAACTTTCTGAACTATCTCAGGGAGTGTGACCTCAGGGAAGTTGTACTTCAGCTTTTTACTTGCTGGGAAAAATAGGGAGATGAGCTTCTATTTAAAAACAAATTACTGCCATCTATCTTGGCTCATAGTAACCCCTTAGGACTTAGGAGAACTACCACACATTATTTTTGTTAGATGCCCTCGAGTCAAATACAACTCCAAGTGACCCTATGAACCCTATCCTGTACCATCTTCATTGTCTCTAATATATTTGAGCACATTAAAAGGCATGGTGTCAATCACCTTGTTGGGGATCTTCCTTTCTTTCACTGACCTTCAATCTTTCAAAGCATGATTTTTTTTCCCCTCCAAGGACTGGCCTCTCCTAATAACATGGCCAAAGTATGTGAGACCAAGTTCCACCATCCTTGCCTCTAAGGAACTCCCTGGTTGCACTTTCTTGTTTGTTCTTCTGGCAGTCCGCAGGATTTTCAATACTTTTTTCCAACACCACAAGTCAAAGGCATCAATTCTTCTGTCATCTCTATTCATTGTCAAACGTCCAGATGCATAGCAAGTAATTGAAAAGGCTATGACTTGAATCAAATTCACCATAGCCTTTAAACTGACATCATTGCTCCTTACCACTTTGGAGAAGTCCTTGACAGCAGGTTTTTCTAATGCAATACGTCTTCCCTCCCCCTCCCTGATTGTTGGTACCTAGGGTGTTCTCAATTCCCAAAGTACCACCCCATGTTATTGTTGTTAGGTGCTGTTGAGTAGCTTGCAACTCATAGCAACCGTATGTACAATAGCCCTGAAACCTGCTTTATCCTGTGCTACCTTTACTGTCTCCAACACACCTATTCTCATTACCCAGTCACTATATCAATCCATCTCATCAGAGGTCTCCCTCCCTTTCTCTGTGGCTTCACCCTTCCAAGCATGATGTCCCTCTCCAAGGACCACTCCCTTCTTGCAACATACGCGAGGTATGTCAGACGAAACCTAAGAATCCTTGCCTCCAAGGAGCAGCCTGGTTTCACCATCTCTAGGATGAACTTGTTTATTCTCCTGGCAGCCCATGTTGTATTCAATACTTTTTTCCACCTCCACACCTCAAAGGCATCAATTCTCTATCATCCCTAGTCATTGTCCAACTCTCTGACACACAGCAAAGAAGATGCAAGGATTATACAGAGACACTAGACCAGAATGAATTGGCTGACACAAAAGACTCTCACAAAACAAGGTATGAGCAAGAGCCTCTGGTGATGAAGGAAAAAGTTCAAGCTACTCTGAAAGAATTGGTAAAATCAAGTCTCCAAGAATTGACAGCATACCAGTTGACATATTTCAATAAACAGATGCTGCCCTCAATATGCTCATTAAGTTGTGCCAAGAAATCTGGAGGTCAACCACCTGGCCAACTGACTGGAAGAGATCGATATTTGTTGCCATTCCAAAGAAAGGTGACCTGACTGAGTGCAGAAATTATCAAACTACCCCATAGAGCTTCCAAATTATAGAAGCAAAAGACACCATGTGCTGCTAGGTTTCAACCACTAAGGTCAGCAGCTATAAGCATGGTAAGGAGTTTTGCTGGCAACTTAAAGTTAAGCTGCTCCAGGGGAAAGGTGGACAGTCTTCTCCCATGTGATTAATTGCCTTTGAAAACCCACTGGAGAGTCAGCTATGAGTTGGTTTCAACTTGATGGTACACAACAACAACATAAGGTAAACTTAAATTTCCCTCTCTTTCTTCTATTGTATATATTCCTGTATAAAATATATAGTACGCGACTCTGTGCACCAGTTATTCATTCTGAGCATACACTAGAATCCCTTGTTATAGCACATTATTGAACCCTTAACCTCATAGTTTCTAATTCAGTGAGTCTGGAGTAGGGTCCAAGAATTTGTCTTTCAAAAAAATTTTCATAGTTCAAACTGCTCTTTACTTTTAGCCTACAAATTGGCAGCTCCAACCTGCCTAGCAGTACTGCAAAAGAAAAGGCTTGGCAATCTGCTTCAGTTATAATTACAGCCAAGAACCATTACTGAACACTTTGATCTAAGATTCTATAGAAGGTTGTTGTTAAGTATAGTTAAGCCTGAATGGATCCATAGCTGACCCTCCAACGAGTTTTCAGAGGCAGTAAATCTTACAGAATGAGATTGGCCACCTTTCTCTAGTGGAGTAATTGGTGAAATGGAACCACCAGTTAGTGCCTTTGGGATCCCAGCACAGCTCTTTACCATTTACAAAAAGCTCCCTTTTTGTAGATGATGTATAACAGAAAATGTACAAAAAGATTTCACATTCTCATGGGATCCTGACTTTCTGATCCCACCAAGGTTGGATGAACTCATAAAACTATTGCCCTTAGGTAATCTTTAAAATTTAAACAAAAGTATGCCCCCCTATCTTCTTGACACCAAACAATAGATTAA